CTTACCAAATTTGAATAATATTCACCTACTGTTTTGACTACATACTAGTTGTGGCTTTGGGATCATTGTCTTAGAATTTATTATGTTGAGAAAAAGAGCAAATGATCAAAGTGAGAGAAGTCAGAGATGCTTTCTCAACTGTTTGTGATGAAGATTAGTTGGCAAAGCTGCCGATCAAAGTTGCCCCATGTTGAATAGAAATCTTGATCTTTTATGTTTGTTGACTCAGTTCCCTGACATGAACTTGCAGACTCCTTACTGTCTCACCACTGATTAAATATGGAAAAAAAATCATGACTGTTCATTTTGTTTTCAGATAACTTGCCAGATACACTTAAGCAAAATCATTCCCAGGTAAAAATCTAAGTTTTCTCATGAGTTGTGCATGTACACTTAGCATTTCAGTCCACTTCTTTTGTACCTGACTTCTATTTATCCACTTTTTGACTTGATAATTATTAGACTAAAATTATAAATTCTATGGGACTACAATTCTCAATCTTGGATCAGTAGAAATGATTGTTATAATTTGGGAGTTTTATCGTTTCAAATTGCTGTGCCTTTTATTTTTCTGGGAAATATTGCAATGCCGTGTGCCAGTTCTATAACCTGTCATTGTTGTTGGTCCCTCAAATTGATGATGTGAAAGCTTCATGATTTGTGCAGTGTCAAGTGACTCAGCAGGAGCCTCAAGTAGGGTTCTTTTCTCTTGCTCTCTCGCTTTCTGTCTCTCTCTCTGTCTCTCTCTCTCTCTCTCTCTCTCTCTCATGCTTTTGTTAGTTTCTGACTGTGTTGCAGCTTGTTTTTTGAGGCATTGCCACATGGTATAGTTTGTAACCAATGCCATCCATTTGCCAGTGTCAAATTATCTGCTTTTTAATTAGGCTTTAAGAGAGTCCTTAAAACAGTTTCTTGATCCCCTTTGAGAACAGATGCTGTTGTTAAGTTCTAAACGATTCTTATACAGCACCTTTGAAACTGACAACCATTACCATCTAGAATGACAAGGGCAGCAGATATTTGGGATGCCACCACCTGCAAGTCCCCCTCCAAATCATTCACCATCCAGACATGGAAATATATCACTGTTTCTTTGGTGGCACTGGGTCAAAATTCTGGAATTCTCTCCCTAATGACATTGTGGGTTGCCCTACACCAAATCGATTACAGCAGTTCATGGAGGAAGGTCACTATCACCTTTTCAAGGGCAACTAGGAGCAGGCGATAAATGCTTGCTGAGCCAGCAATGCCCATGTGCCATGAGTAAATTTTTTAAAAAGCCAACTATTGGGCATGTGGTTGCAATGTCCAATCTACCAGAACTGATGTTGTTTGACTTTGGTTGCAGTGGTGGAGGATTTGGCTTTAAGGATGCTGCAACATGTTTGCCTATCTTTTTACTTGATGTTAAGAATGTTATGGAGACATCACTTGTGAAAATTCTTCAGCTGGAGTTGTGTTTGGTAGGCAACTCCAGTTTCATTGCCATATAGAAGGATAGAAACAACAACAACATTATGGCTTAAAACCTTTGACCTGATATGGAGATTTCTGATCATGTACTTTTTGACAATCTGCACTGGCAAAGTTGGTTCTGTGTTAGATCTCCTGTTTAATGTTGGCCTTTCAGTAAGATAGTTGTAGAGATTTGGGAAGTGTTCAATGACTTCTGAAGTCGTCCCATCATGGAAATTGCTTGAGGTGTATGTGCTTGTCTGGGAAAGGACAAGAGAAGAATGTTGGTATTACTGATCTCAGGGGAAAGGTTAAGGGTGTAATATTAAAATGGTATGAGTGATGTAGGCTATGGCGGGATTAGTGACAGAATTGCTGAAATCTGGCAAGGCCTGTCTTGACATTGGGATCATCTTGTTGCATCTTGTATGCATTTGCTGGGTGGCTAACACTTGTTAGACAGCAATGAGTGACCAATTAAAGGGATTATAACTTGTTAAATATCTCATTAACACTTCAACTCACCTAGTAACAATCAGCTTTCTACCTTACCAAATTTGCTGAACAAGATAGATGTCAAGAAGTTTTGACATGGAAATCAGAGCAGGAACCTTGCGAATTTAGCTTGCCGCTTGCTCCAAAGAACTTCCAAGTTGATCGCTGCACAGAATCTCAGGGCGTGATACGTGGCTATGAGCCACACACACTCATCATCCATGGACGTTGGCATCTGATAGCTGTCACCTCCTCACTACCATCATAGCACTCTACAAATTTACTGATAGGCCACTTAGGAAATCACTGCCAAAAGAAGTGGGAAAGTTGAGACTGCGGAGGGAAAGCAGGGCCATTTGCAGAAGTGGGAACAAGGATGGTGATAGGGGACATTTAAGGTGTGTAGGGATGAGGAAAATTGGTGGGTGTGTTAGGCTATGGGAAGGCAGGTTATTAGCTGTGATCACCTCTGTGGCCTCCCAAGAGGGAACATAGAGGAGCACAGTAGGCATTGACAGGATGTAATATCGGGAGTCAGGGGACAGGGAGAAAAGTGGGAGAAGAAGTTTAATGTGGTGGGTCTCCATATGGAGGAGATGGATGAAAATTGGCTGTTTGAGTAATTCAAGGTAAAAGGAGACAATGGGGGTTTGGAGCAGGGGGCAGGGAGATGTGGGATAACCGTATTTAGTGATTAGGTGGAGCCTGGTGCTGTTATTGTCCTTTGCAAGCTGTGGTCCCTGCCATCACAGAATCACAGATCCCTATAGCACAGATAAAGGTCATTTGGCCCATCAGGTCTGCACCAAACCACTTGCTATTCTACCCAGGGTGGGTGGAGTCCATGTCATTTTGATGGGCAAAACTGCAGGATCCATACGTGCTGGACGCAAGGACACATTAGGGGCAAATACATGAAGCAGGTGTTTGTAAACTCCAGCTACATGCATCATCAATGTTTACAGAGTGAACATGTTTGAATGCTGGTCAGTGATTCACACCATGCCATTGGTTCTTGTAAATTGGACACTGGCTTCTCACCGACTGTGAAGTTTGCAACAATGACATAAAAAGAGGCATTTGCCGGTCAAAAGGTGAGCCAGGAGTTGTGAGACTTTCAAGGGTGCTGTTGGAGACAGAACATCGTTCTACCATCTGTCATGTAAGTATGATGATGATTGGTACTCAGGGCAAATAAAAGCTGAAGGACTGATGTAGGTGTGGGAAGGAAAGGTTTTTGGAGTGTGGCAGGCAGTCTTTTCTGATGTAATTTGTTCGTTACTCGGCCAGCTGAACACCATCACTAAGTTGCTGAATATACTGTTGCTGAAGCTGAATGATTGATGGAGCCATGGCCTTTGTTTACAGGCTGCTGTGTGGAGGAGTGAGCACAGGCCTAATCTGCAGAGTATGCTACCGTTGACTTTTCTAAGGCCTCTTTCACTGCTTATAATTCCACCGTAGGTCATTTCCACCAGAGGTCTTGGTCCCAACTGCTGCTGGGATGTGTTGGTCATTAAGGTTCCATTCATAAGAAGGGGATGGTAGATTCTGCAGGATCGGAGCAGATTCCAAACCTAGGAGTTGCAGTGTGGTTACCGCAGAGGGCTGAGGAAAACCCATTGCAATTTGAGGTCACAGCTGCAGGACCCTGAGAATGGTTCAAGGTTGGAGGAGGACCAGGCACTTTCAGCCAAGTTTCCATTTCCTGGGGATGAGCAAGTTGCAGTGTCAGCATGTGCAGCGTATGCCCCGAGGCTCTGTGACAGAATTTTGCTAGATTCTCAAGTGGGACCGGAGGGCTGCAGGAGTGAGAGGCCGTACTCTGTGAAGGTAACAGCAGCTTTGAACTGAATGCAACTGGCTGCTTCCAGGGAGGAATGGGTGACCTGGATATGATCTCTCAGTCATGCACTCACAAAGCATCAGGAACTGATCGATGCAATCTGTGCAAGGTCACATGAGGTAATTCCTTTTCCCAATGATGAGGTCAGTGCTACGGACCAGGAAGCAGGATTCAGAAACATAGCCGGCTTCCCGCCAGGTGTAGGGGCCCATCGACTTTACCCACATGGCACTGGGAGGACCATATCACAACACTGCTGAATACATCAATAGGAAAGGGCTCCATGTTGCTGCTACTAAACACCATTGGTGGAAAGAATGATTGTTTATAGAGATGAAATGGGTGTTGAACAAGGGTTGCCATTGACTTTCTTAAGAGTTGTTGGATCTATACTGTAAGTGGAAAGTATTTCATCACATCCTAAACTTGCATCTTGTAGATACTGGACTGTCATGACAGGGTAGCCTGCTTTAAATTGTGCCCTGCTATTACTGAGGTCATTTTAAAGTCATATTTAAACGTGCGCACGGTATCCCAATTTACTGGACTTTCAGATCATGATTGATAGAAAGCATGGAACTGATTTCTGTACTAAACAATTATTATTATTTATTAAAAATCATTAGACTATAATTACAGGTAAGAGAAATTATTCATTAGCATGGAAATGCATAATTAAAACTCTAGCCCACTTATAAACTCTCCATTACATACCTCCTTAGGCAGCCAAATTGGTAAAATACATTTTTAGTGGAAGTAGAAAACACAAGAAAGTGGTCGTTCAGTAATATTTCCTTCCTTAATGAGAATATTCTACTTTGGGTAGCCAGGCCTTGGTGTTCAATCATCTTTCTCCAGAAGCTTCTGCTGGTAACAAGTACAGAATAACTGATTCAATTTGACACAGCTCTGATTTATCAATTCAAAAGTCACAGCTAACAATATCTGCTGCAGGAAATGTGACTGGATTTATTATGTGCTTTTTACTGCTGAGAAAAGCAGTTTGTGCAGGGCACGACTCCTGCACACGCTTCGGCGTCCTTCTCTGTCTCTCTCTCTCTCTCGCTGTCCTCCCTCCCTCCCCCTCTCTCTGGGTCTGTGTTTTTGTAACTTCTTTCCAGTTCCAAGTTGCTTACGTAGTAGATAGCCAATCAGCTTCAATTGTAAACAACTTCTCTGTTGCTGATCGTCTGCAGCTTGCAGGAGCCCACAGCCACAAAACAGCATTCACATTAGATATCGAGTTTCTCATTGAAAGTATATAGACGTCATGGTAGATCCCTTTTCTAAAAAGAACAGTTCTTTCTTAATGCAGGCCACAGTTCTTCAAGATGCAAAAAAGACCTTACAGGGCAGAGACATCAGAGAGTGAGGTTACATGCCACAGAAATCACAGAGTCTCAGTTGCTTTCATGGCTATGTTATAAACCTACTGTTATTTTCAGTTACGTGCTAATGTATACTTACAAACTTTTGTGATCATTGCAGAGAGCAACCAAGATTTAAAACATACTACCTAGGTCACACTTCTGGTATGGTTCCCACGTTTGGCTAATAACCACACACGTAGGGTCAGGGTGATCATAGGAATAATCCAAAGTATAAAGAGGATAAACAATATCGAAAACCTCAAGGTTTAAATTCTGGAGGGAATCCAGTTAAAAGCAAGGTAAGAGGTTTGTAAGATATAAAATGGTACAGAGAAAATCAACTCAAAAGATGCCTCAATGTAACTAGGGCAGGTAGGACAAGAGATATTACTTTAAATCAGTGAAATGTAAGTTTAAAATTTATATTAACTGTTCTTTCTTGCCTCAAAATATGAAAATTATTTAGAATAATCTATAACTAACGTTGTAATTAAAGTTATTGGTTTAAAACATTCCAGTAGCAATTGGATGCAAGGCCATGATCATGGAACTTTGCTTATACAAATAATCCTCTCTTTCTTTCTTCCATTTACTTATATTTTTGGTCATTTGTGTTATCTTGATGTTCTCTTTCTACTTGTTGTGTTGTAGTTGGAGTGGATGCACTGTTACTGACGTATAGAGTCACATTTTGGTCTAATGGACTGCAAATACAACAGGAACTTTGAACAAGATGATTTTACAATGGATTTTTGACCCATTAGTGAACGAGAATCTATGTGCTAACAGTGTATAACTATATATTCTGCAAGATGGAAATAGTGGCAAAAATGTTTCGAGCCATTTCTTAAGAGTTCATTGCAATTTGTCTGCACTCAATTTGTTGCAAGAATAGAAGCAAATTGTGGGTATTTTTGATCCTGTGGACGCCTGCCAAGTGAAAATTCAGCTGCCAATGACCCTACTAAAGTACCTTAGAACTGTGAAGCATTCACATCAATGGTTAGAAAACCCGCAAAAAATAATTTGTGATCGATTGTGGTAAAGAATCCTTTATTTCCCTCTCTAATAAAAAATATACAATGTTATTTTTTAACAGTGTTTGAATATTGACATTATCATTTCCAGAACATTGGAGACATCCAATGTGAATCAGGTCCCTGCAGAGTCCTGCCAACTTGCAACAGACAGGTCACCTACACCCAGGGACTTATTGAAAAAAATGTGACTGTTGAGTTGGCTTGAGAATCTTTGAACAATTCTGTGTTAGTTACCTGTATAATTGTCCAGGTGTTGTTAGACAAATTAAACCCTAGATATGTCCCCATCTACCTCCCATATACCCGTCCCCTGACTTTTTCTGACTACACCCCGATCACATTGACTATCATCTCAACCAGACTTGACTACTCCCCAGACCACGCACTGGCCTGCTCCCACACTGCATGATTCCATGATTCTATAACTCTCTTACTGTAGAGTTGCGTTGAAGTTGAACACCTACGCTCGGTTCGTGACAAACGACTGCATCTCCCAGTCACGAACCATTTCAACTCCCCCTCCCACTCCTTGGACGACATGTCCATCCTGGGCCTCCTGCAGTGCCACAACGATGCCACCCGAAGGTTGCAGGAACAGCACCTTTTATTTCGCTTGGGAACCCTGCAGTCCAAGGGTATCAATGTGGACTTCACAAGCTTTAAAATCTCCCCTCCCCCGACCACATCCCAAAACCAGCCCAGCTCGTCCCCACCTCCCTAACCTGTCCTTCCTCCCGCCTATCCACTCCTCCCACCTCAAGCCCCACCCCCGTCTCCTACCTACCAGCCTCATGCCGCCTCCTTGACCTGTCCGTCCTCCCTGGACTGACCTATCCCCTCCCTAATTCCCTACCTACACTCACCTTTACTGGCTCCATTCCCACCTCTTTGACCTGTCTGTCTCCTCTCCACCTATCTTCTCCTTTATCCATCTTCTATCCACCTCCCCCTGTCTCCCTATTTATTTCAGAATCCCCTTCCCCTCCCCCATTTCTGAAGAAGGGTCTAGACCCGAAACATCAGTTTTCCTGCTCCTCAAATGCTGCTTGGCCTACTGTGTTCATCCAGCTCTACACCTTGTTATCTCAGATTCTCCAGCATCGGCAGTTCCTACTATCCCTTATTAGATTACCACTCAGCCTCACTGAGCTGCTTAGGACGAATCTTGACAAAAACCATTGTGTCTCTCTCCTGATTTTCTTTACCAACGCACATTGCAGACAGAGATGTGTGATAGCCTCTACTCCTATCTGCAGCTGCTTCGAGGTTTGCGGTAGCACAAAGGGTCCAGGCGTACATGAGGGATCTCACTGATCTCCCTTCTGATCGCCAGTCAAGCAACTTCTTAGTGCTTGTCGGAAAGTTCTGACGATGAGGCATTCTGTGAAATAGCTTTGGCAGTTTGTTCAGGGAACCACCTGACAAGATCAACTCTCTCCTTTTTCCACACGGTCTCAAATATGCTACATGCTGACTACTGCCTAATGGCCTAATTGTAAAAGATGTTTCTCTTCACAAATTTCTCCATGAGAGTCAAGTGGTATAGGATGATGCAACAACGAGGCCAAACCTATTCTTCGTGACACTGGGGAGAGGTAGAACCTCAGTAAGCAGTGACTCTTGGTGTTTGCGCACCGAAGGTCTACACATAGCTTGGTGTTGCCAGACACGAAGGTGGCCGTCAGCATGAAGCTGGTGTTGGGTATGCTTATGTCTGCCCTTTGCCTAGCGCTTTATACATGGAGTCTCTTCAGACCTGATCCATCTTCGACGTCCAAATGAAATAGAAGATGCCTTGGGTGACTGCAGTGGCACAAGCTCGGGGAATAGGCCAGACCTGCACTACAGGATAAGAATTTAGGAGGCATGGTCAGTAAGTTTGTGGATGACACCAGAATTGATGGCATACAGTCAACAACGAAGAAGGTTATCTCAGATTACAAAAGGATCTCGATCAATTGGGCCAATGTGATGAGGAATGGCAGATGGTGTTTAATTTTGGATAAATGCGAGGTCTTGCATTTTGGTAAAACAAACAACGGCAGGACTTATACAGTTAATGCTAGCGCCATGGTAGTATTGTCGAATAGAGAGACCAAGTGTTTCATATACATGGTAGTTTGAAAATTTCATCACAGGTAGAGAGGGTGCTTAAGGAGGCATTCAGCATGCTTGCCTTCTGTTGTGACCGGAACTAGGTCAGCCAGGTAGACCTCATAGAAAATGTGTTCGCTGAATGGGGCTGTTAACATTCTCCAATTAGGGAGACCTGGCTGAGAGATGCAAACAGGAGTGTCAGGGGTTCGGTTCATTCTAGGAGCAGGCTCTGAGCTAGCTGGGTCAGTGCCATGTACTATGTACGTGTAAATAAAGGGTGGCTTGGTGATGGGACGCCAGTCTTTGTGGATTTACTTCACCTTCATTTCTCGGACCATTAAGTATAGGAGTTGGGATGTCATATTAAGGATGTTGGTGAGGCCAGTTTTGGAGTACTGTGTGCAGTTCTGGTCACCCTGCAATAGGAAGGATATTATTAAATTGGAGAGGGTTCAGAAATGATTGACCATGATGTTGCTGCGACTGGAGGGTTTGAGTTATATGGATAAGTTGGATAGTCAGGGACTCTTTTTCACTGGAGCGTAGGAGATTGATGGGTGACCTTTTTAGGTTTGTAAAATCATGAGGGGCATAGGTAAGGTGAATAGCAAAGGTCTTTTCCATAGGGTGAGCATGTTCGAAATTAAGGGTCATTTTTAAGGTGAGGAGAGAAATATTTAGAAGGGACCTGAGGGGCAACTTTTTCACACAGAGGGTGATTTTGTGTGGAATGAACCACCAGAGGAAGTGGTAGATGCAGGTATAGTTACATTTAAAAGACATTTGGATAGGTGTATGAATAGGAAAGGTTTAGAGGGATGTGTAGGCAGACAAATGCAGGCAAGTGGGACTAGTTTAGTTTGGTAAAGTTGGTTAGTATGGATGAGTTGGACCGAAGGGTCTGTTTCCATGCTGTATGACTCTATGACTCTATAACTGGCCCACATATCCAAATCACCAATATAGTCGGTTATGCTGTAATGTGTGTTCTGGCAACGCAAATTGGCTATAACGCGAATGATGAATAGGGGAATGCTGTTTCTAAAACGCAAACTTTTGTTGGCTATAACACGATTCCATCAGTGCGCGGAATATGCGTCAACATCACATCGTCATTTTGCGGGCTTCGTCCTGAGTATGCACAATGTTAGTGCCGAAAGAGTCTCTGTGCTGGTGCTAACATTGCAAACATCAAAGTACTATTTCTACCCCCAGACACAACCTCTCTCCTTCAACCCATGGACCAGGGTGCAGTGGCAGCTTTTAAAGTTTATTATTTAAGGTGCACATTTCAGAGTCTGATTGCAGCCACTGAGGGGGATAAGGACAGTGTTCTTCAATTTTGGAAGAGCTTTAATATCAAGAAAGCAATTGACACAGCAGGAGGATGTCAGTAAGGACTGCTTGCATGCAGTTTGGCAGAAGCTTCTCCCAGATATTTTTCAAGATTTTAAAGGCTTTGATCCGTCAGAGGAGCTCCCAAGAATCAAAGAACATTGTGTTGATCTTGCAAAGCAAGTTGAATTTGAAGATGTGGAGAGAGAGGATGTTGAAGAGTTGCTTGAGTCCCACTGTGAAGACCTCACTGCAGTTGATCTACAACAACTTGTCATTGAGGGGCAAATGGAAGCTAGAAATGAAGAAGATGAAGTCCAGGATGCAGCACCACAAGAGCTTTCCACTTCTGTTTTGTCTTCTATCCTGAGGGAAATTGAGAAGCAGTTGCAGCTCTTGGAGGACAACGATTACATTGCAGAAAGCTGTTCATGGAAGAAGATCTTATTTGGCATCCTATGAACAGCTTCTTCATGAAACAACAGAAAGGAAAAACCAGCAAAAACTGGATATCCTTTTTAAGCCAACCCCCAAGAAACAGTCAGAAGACAATGAATCACAGCCATCCACTTTTGGATTAACTATTTTTTGCCCTAACCCCACAACCACAACTGCACCTGAAGGTGGTGATGATGATGATGATGGTGATGATCCTCATTCCCTGCATTAACAACAGAGCAACCTCAGAACCTCCTCCCCCATCAAGTCATCTTGACATTTTTTTCAAAGTAAGATGTTAAACTTACTTTTATTTCTTTATTAGATATAAATTGAACATTTATTCAAACTGTGCTATACTTTGTGTTAGGTTTTTGAGTGATTTTTAGGCGATTTTGAGTGATATTTTTGGTGCTCTGCCTTTAACCCCACTTTTCTCATAGGCTCTGTTATTTCTATAGCGCGATTTTCTATAACAGGATGTTGCACAGGAACACAACTGTCGCGTTGTAGCAGAACCAACGATATAGATTATGAACAATTGGGGCCTGCGTAGTAATCCTTGCAGTACCCCACTGTCACAGCTGGCCATCCTGAGAATGATCTATTTATTCATACTTTCAGCCTTTTGACTGTTAATCAATTTTTGATCAATTGGAGAATATTACTCCAAATCAATGTGCTTTAATTTTATTTACTAACCTCCTGTGTGGAAATTTATTTCAAGCCTTCTGAAAATCCAAATACACCACAAACACCGATTCCTTCTTTTTGACACCGACTGTTCAAAACTGCAAAAAAATTTTGAGGTTTGTCAAACACAATTCCCCATCATAATCCATGCTGATTCTGTCCAATCAGCCAACCATTTTCAAATTATCCAGTAATAGATTTTAGTATGTAATGTAATGCCCTATATTGTCTCCCTCCTTCCTTAAAGGTGGCGTTACCTTTGCATCTTTCAATCTGTTGACACTATTGAAGGATTAATAGAATTTTGAAAGATGGTCATCACTGCTTCCAGTATCTCCATAGCAATCTTTTTCAACACTCCAAGGTTATTGAGTCCCAGGGATTTGTCAGCTTTCAGCCATTAATTTCTTCATTGCTACTTCCCCTAATTCTACTAATTTATTTCAGTTTCATGGGACAACAAGGTGCAGGGCTGGATGAACACAGCAGGCCA